TCCTCCTCCTCCTCCTCCCCTCCTCCTCCCCTCCTCCTCCTCCTCCTCCTCCTCCTCCTTCTCCCTCCTCCTCCCCCGCCTCCTCCCTCTCCTGGAGTGCTCTCTGGCCAGAAGTTCGAGGACCACGCAGCCCGTGGCGACGAGGGCTCCCCGGGGCGAGAGCAGCGGCACGGGCATCTTTCCAAGGAGCCCAGGGACACACACATAAACAGACACAACTCCCAGGATTCCCAGTAGTTTCCCATATCTCTCAGGGAGCCCAGGAGCCCAGGGACACACAAATAAACAGACACAACTCCCAAGATTCCCAGTAGTTTCCCACTTGTTGATCTGCGGGGCGAGAGCGAACCTCTTCCGCGGAGAGCTAAGCGGGACGCGCACAGATTCAATTCGCAGAGAAAAGGGCGGAAGAAGGCGGGGCCTCACGCGGCCAGGAGAGGGCGAAGCCCGGGGATCAGGCGGTGCCGAAGTGGACGTGCAGGACCAGGGACACACACACAAACAAACAGACACAACTCCCAAGATCCCCGGTAGTTTCCCATATCTCTCGGTTTTCGTCTTCCCCCCCCCGCTTCCCATCTTGTCCCACATCTTCCGGGGCAATCGACGAGGAATTGGCGTCCGTGTTTTATCCCCTCCCGGATCGTGTCCTCCTCCAAGGGTCCTCCTGGCCCGGCCGGGGGTGCACGGTTTCCCCCGGGGCCGTAGGCGACCCGAGGAGGAGGAGGAGGAGGAGGAGGAGGAGGAGGAGGAGGAGGAAGGGGAGGTGGAGAAGGAGGAGGAGGAGGAGGAGAAGGAGGATGAGGCGCGGCCCTCCACACGGCATGCCGACGCCGCGGTGGCGCGTCTTTGTTCCTTCGGCGGTTCTGAAGGGGCTCCAGGAACACAAATAAATACACACAAATACAAAGATTCCCAACACTTTCCCATATTTTCCGGGTTTCTGTCTTCCCCCCACTTCCCATATTTTCCCATATTTTCTGGGGAATCGAGGATTAATTGTGTCTGTGTGTTTCTTTTCCTCCTGAGTTTCGACATTGGGCGGAAAGGGTTGTTTTTTGTTTTTCGACAGTCGGCGTTTCGACCTTGGGCGGAAGGGGGGGGGGGATTCGGCGTTTCGACCTTCGGCTCTTTGCTTTATTCGGCGTTTCGACACTGGGGGTCTGGCTCCAGACCTCTGCTTGGTGCAACTGTCTGCGAGAGCGCTGCCTCTGGGGGAACTCCACCCGCTCGAGAAACAGGCGCCAGAAGACAGCCAAGAGGGAGGGGGGGGTGATGAACCAACAACGCACACCCATACCCATAGGGGGGTCGAAGAGGGCTATGGGTGCGTGTTGTCGGACGGGGGCCCCCGCTCGAACGGGAGCGTTCCCTGGGGTCCGACAACCCGCACCCACACCCATAGCCAGTCCTTCTCCCAACGACCCCCTTATGGGTATGGGTGTGTGTGTTGTTCGTTCGTCAGGGGGGGGGGCGAGGGCCCGCGCCGATCGGCAAAACAATGAATAAGACAACGGTCGCGTGTCGGCGCGCCTCGGCGGCGCGCACCCGCGGCGTGCGTCTTTGGGGGAGAGGGGGAGCCCCTTCTCGGCACGGGCGACGTGGGTACAGCACGGGCCCGACCACAGGAAGCCTTTCACGGAGGGGCACCAGGACACACAAATAAATACACACAAATACGCCCACGATAGCCCCAAGACCGTCCAGGAAGCCTCCGAGACGTCCCAGGCCCCCTCCAAGAGACCCCCAGGAAGCCCCAAGAGGCCCCCACGAGGCTTCCAAGCGGCCCCTGAGAGCTTCCCAAGAGGCCCACAAACTACCCCAAAGAGGCCCCCAAGAGCGCTCGTCGTCGTCGTCGTCGTCGCCATTCAGGGTCGGCGGCACCGGCCGTAAGGCATTCGCAATAAATACAAACAAATAACAGGATTCCCCAGATTTTCCCATCTTTTCTGGGTTTCTGTCTTCCCCCCCACTTGCCATATTTTCCCATATCTTCTGGGGAATCGACGCTTCATTGTGTCTGTGTGTGTTTTTCCCCTTCTGATTTCACCAGAAGCCCGGCCCTCCCCAGGACGCCCGCTGATGCTTGGCGCGGGAGCGTCACGCTGTCCACCGCAAGACCATCGAAACCCAAAGAACCCAGGGTACCCTGGAGGCACGCAGGGCGTGTCGTGGCATGGGTCTCCCCTGTACGGAAGGGATGGGTACAGCACGATGCCTAAAAACAGTTCCCGTTCGTTTTGGACAGGACTCGCCGTCCTCGCCGCCGCGGGCGTGGCCCACTGGAGACAGAAAGCCGCCTGCCCATCAGTGGCCGCCGCCGGTTTTGGGACAGCACTTGCTGTTGGGCATCGCCCCCATTCTTTTCGCACAGTCAACCCGCATAGTATGAAGGGGCCCTGGGACACACAAATAAATACACACAAATAACAGGATTCCCCATATTTTCCCATGTCTTCAGGGTTTCTGCCTTCCCCCCCACTTCCCATATGTTCCCATATTTTCCTGGGGGTCGACGATCAATTGTGTCTGTAAGTTTTTTCCCCTCCTGATTTACCAGAAGCCCGGCCCTCCCCAGGACGCCCGCTGATGCTTGGCGCGGGAGCGTCACGCTGTCCACCGCAAGACCATCGAAACCCAAAGAACCTAGGGTACCCTGGAGGCACGCAGGGCGTGTCTCGGCATGGGTCTCCCCTGTACGGAAGGGATGGGTACGGTACGATGCCCAACGACAGTTCCCGTTCGTTTTGGACAGGACTCGCCGTCCTCGCCGCCGCGGGCGTGGCCCACTGGAGACAGAAAGCCGCCTGCCCATCAGTGGCCGCCGCCGGTTTTGGGACAGCACTTGCTGTTGGGCATCGCCCCCATTCTTTTCGTACAGTCAACCCGCATAGCAAGGATGCGGGATGAGGAGGCAACTTGCCGTCGCTCGGACGTCCATTTCCCGTGCATTTTCCGGTTTCGTGCGTGTTTTCTTCCTCGATGGTCCAGGATGGTCCTCGTGGTTTCTCGCCGAGAAAAAGAGCACACGTCCAAGCGATGCCAAGGCAAGGGCCTTGGATGTCCATTTCGAAGCTTCCCGCGCGGGGCGCAGCCAACGGAAGTGGTCGAGGATCGACCGAAGAGGCAAGGATACGAGGGTACAGTTGGGGCGTTGACCTAAGGAACTCCAACTCCGATTTCCCATGGGAAACCTCAGGAAAACCAAAGGCAAACTGCAGAACAATCAAGGAACACGGAGCCCCCCCCCCAAACGAAAAGGGTTCCCTCTTCAGCGCCCCGACTGTACCCTCGGGAAGGTTGCCTGCGGGTTGACTGCACTCACTCCGGGCGTCCGGATCTCTGAGTGACTACCTACCAGACCACCCCAACCCAACCCAAAGACCCGAATTTCGGGTTGGGGGGGTAAGGGTTCCACACGTGTTTTTTTCGATGTTTCCCGACCCCCCCCCCACTGGAAATCGAGGGTAAATCTGAGCCTTCGGGCTGGGTTGGGGTGGTTTGGTGGGCGGTGACTGAGGGAGGCTGCTTCTGAGAGCGCGCGGGCCCTGCGCCTGCAGATGTGGCCCGCGCCTTCCAGGGAGCAGCCGCCTCCCTCCTTCCGCTATGGGGAGGCCCTCCGCCCTCCCCCCTGCCCCCCCGGATGTGCGGCCCGCCAGCTTCGGAGACGCCCTCTTTGAAGGGGCCCTGGGGCACACAAGTAAGTAGACACAGAGACCAGGATTCCCCACACCTTCCCATACACTCTGGGGCTTCGTCCCCCCCCCCCCCCCACACTTCCCATAGTTTCCCCATATTGCCGGGGGAATCGGCGATGAATTGTGTCTGTATGTTTTTCCCCCTCCTGATTCCTCCCTCCTCCTACCCCCCCTACCCAGAAGCCGAGATGTCCTCCTACTGGATTTATATATATATATATATATATATACATACATATATATATATATAACTACCAAAAACAAAGAAACAAATAAAAGGAGCATCCAGGAGCTGGCGTTCCAGGAGGCCCCCATTCCGTTCGCCTCTGATGCCGCTGCGCCCCGCGGCACGCCCGTCGAGGACTGGCGGGGGAGCGGGCAGTGCCCTCCACGCCCCCTCCCCCTCGTCTCGGCGGCGAGCCCAGGAGGGGAAGGCAGAGGGGGCTCGAAGTTCGAGGTCGGGGATCGTCTGACCTGGCTCAATCCAGACCCGGGTCAGTCAGGCCTTGCAGAATCCTGAAAGATCCTGCAAGATCCTGCACCCAAACCTGGGTCAATACGAAGGATCCTGCAAGATCGGGCGCTCTGGCTGACCCCCGTTTGCCTGGACCCCCATCTCAAGGCTCCCGACGAGGTTTTCAAACGTTTTCGCCGGCTCTCTGAAGGTTTAAAGAGACCCTGAGACACACACATAAATACACACAAATAACAAAAAACATCCCCATATGTTCGCTTTTTGTTTCTGGGTTCTTGTCTTCCCCCCCCCCCCACACTTCCCATTTTTTCCCATCTTTTCCAGGAAATCGCCGACGAATTGTGTCTGTGCGTTTCTTTCCCTCCTGATAGGTTTTCAGCCTCGAGGCGCGTTCCAACGGCGCCTCGCCGAGAGAGCGTTTCCGGGGCCTCGGAGAGCCGAGCCTTGGCGCGAAGAGGCCACCTGGCGTGCGAGAGGGCGGCGGGGCGCCTCAGAAGCAGCCTCCTGGGTAGCCTCCTCCTCCTCCTCCTCCTCCTCCTCCTCCTCCTCCTCCTCCTCCTCCTCCTAAGCAGTCTCCGAAGGCACAGACGGCTTCTCAGAAGGCGCGCGGACTTCTGAGGAAGCCCCGCCGCCCTCCGAAAAGGCCTACGACGACCCAAGACCACGACGAAGACGACGACGACGAGGGCAACTGCAACGACGACGGCGACGATGACGACGACGACGAAAACCACGAGAACAACGACGACGACGACGACGACGACGACGACGACGGCAACTTCCCCCCCTGGCACGGGGGGCTGGCCCCGCGGCTGGCGGGGGGGCGCCCGTAGTCGCACTCGGGGCCCTGGTCCTTATTCTTCTTATCGTTGTAGACCTCGGCCGCCGGGGGCGGGGTGGCGGGGACGCTCCCCCCATGGCGCCCCTGGTGCGGGCACCTCCGGGCGGAGGGGGGAGGGAGGAGGCGGAGGCGGAGGCGGAGGAGGCGGAGGCGGAGGCGGAGGCGGAGGAGGATGAGGCGGAGGAGGAGGCGGCGGAGCGGCGGGGGGGGGGGGGCGGAGGAGAGGGACAGGGAGGAGTAGGAGGAGGGAGGGAGCAGGGCAGGGAGGCTCCGGAGGGAGGAGGGAGGGCAGCAGCAGGGCCGAGGGGGCCGCGGGAGGGAGGGCGGGAGCAGGGCAGGGAGGCCTCCAGGGCAGGGCAGGGCAGGGACAGGGCTGAGGGGGAGGGAGGGAGGGAG